CCACCCTGCCGTTCCCGTCATTACGCACACACACACATGCCCTTCGCTCGCCGTTCCCGCCAACCGCCCCACCTCCGGGAAATAGAAGCTTATATAATACACCGGCCTAGCCTTGTCGGTCGTCACCGTCTGGTGCTTCTTCGGCGCAACCGACAACCACAACCTGCGGTCCGGCGTTCGGAGCTCCACTGCCCTCGCCTCAACGTCCAACTCGTTCGCTCTCTCCAGTTGCCGCCATCGCCGGAGTCGGGTTCCGTCGAATCTCCTCCGCCGGCGTCCGCTCTTTCTGCAGACCCTGTCCATTATCCACCTCTCCGAAAGTCGCAACGCCGCCCTCGGCCATCTCAGCTCGTCGGTGAGCAAGACGCCGGCGGCCACGTTTCCCTGCACGTAGAGACCAGCAGAGGCCAAGCCAGTGACATCCAAATATGTTTCTCTCGATGATGGCGGGCTGTTGACGGGCCACGGGGAAGGTGACAGCGGTGGCAGGCTTTGGCGGGCTGTGAGAGTGTGTTATATGTGAGTGTGTAATGTGTGTGTGTGCAGGTAGGTGTGGTGTGTGTTTATGTGTGTGAGAGAGAGGGTAGGTTAGTGAATTAATGTGGTTTGTAGTGGGACCCATTTTTGGGGTTTTAAAATATCTGATTTACCCTTATTAAGTGGTCAAATATTTATATCTGACCATGATATGTACAATTATTTATGAAATTGCCACCCATGTTTGACTACCACTTACTAAAATTTGACTTGATCATGGTCGTTGACTTGATGAATCCAACGGTACAAATTCATTCTTATTTCTTTCATTGTGTTCATTTAGCACACTTCTATTTTTATTTATACTAGTAGTCACCCGTGCGATGCACGGGGATATTATTATCTATAATGTTTTTAAAAAACAATTTTATATATAAATTGTGTTATGCAGGCAATGATCATGATCATAATAATAGACATATAAACATATCATTAAATTAAAAAAATCATATATTATTGAACACTTCCCTATATACAACATTATTGGTTTGATTCTTTGGCACGTCATCTTCGCCACAAATTAAGATTTTCAAACCTTTTCGGTTCGTGACACGGGAAACAACAACATATAACTGATCATGACTGAACACTGATTTCTTAAGAAATAAGTCAATATGAGATAAGGATTGTCCCTAGCTCTTGTTTATAGTCATGGCGTAAGAAACCATAACGGGAAACTGTCGCCGCTAGAACTTGAAAGGAATTCTAACATTAGAAAGAGTTATTGTCATTCTTGGAATCAACACCTTATCACCAGCATGATCTCCTGTGAGTATCTTATACTCAAGAACGTGAGTCGATAGCTTTGTCACTACCAATCGTGTCCCATTACACAAACCTATAGAATGATCCATGTTCCGCAACAACATGACTGAAGTTCCAATCTTCAAATACAACTCATGGTTCGGTATTCCGGAACACTTGATACTATTAAAAAACTCAGGCTTATACAAAAAATTAAATAAGTGAAAATGCAGTTACCAAATAGCATTGATTCGTCGATTTTCTCGATATCAATCAATGTGTTGAACCTTCGAAAGTCAAAACGGAAAATTGGAAAGTCACCCTTATAGCTTATGTGTTTGGTTCTACCATGTAGTATAAGCCTGTATTGTGCAATGGTGGATCTATAAATCCTGATATTACTCTCGACTTGATAGTTTCGAAATGCATAGACAACACCTTCTTCAAATTCATTGATGAAAGTTGGGATGTTGATTGCTCTTACTATTCCAGTAATTCGACCTCCCTGAAAAAAAAGAAAAATAATATTAGATATTAGATATTATAATTAACATGATGAGAAAAATGGATAATCATTATTTTTATTATGAATTAAACCACAATGTCATGAAAGACAATTTCAAGGATGTTCTTGTAGGATGATTATTGATTAGTCCTTTGGAAAACTCGAACCACCCTCAACTTGAGCATTGGCCTGTTGGTCCTTGTTACTTGCTTGATGTTTTCCCATTCTCTCGCCATTTTTCTGTTTGTATGTGAAATTGTAGTGTGAGATTTTTCTGATACGTGATATAGGCTCCGACGTTTATTTTATAGCCATGAGATGAAAGTAGATAACTATTAGATGATAAGATTAGTTGGACTCACGTTAATCTCTCTTGATAAGATTCTTTGCACGTGATTTTAATTTCAGAGTTTCAATAAATTCACACTCTAATATCATGATAAGATTAGTAAAACGTGATTTAGCAGATTGTTAACTCTCGTGATTTATCCACCGTAGGACTCGCTATTTGTTATGTTTTCTAAATGAATGACATTGAATTCAAATGGAATATATTTCGGTCAATCCAAACACAAATGATTATCACGTTGGTATGGACCGAAATTTTTATGATGATAAGATAAGTGGAAAGTAGTTAATAAGTGGAGATTGTTGTGTGATAGCATCATTACATAATTACCATCACCATAAATATTTCCATTAAAATTCGGTCCATACCAACGTGATACAAAAAAAAATTCTTGAAATTTTTTTTGCGTCAAACAAATAATATAATCTTTTACGTCAAAAATTTTGTACGTCAAAATTTTATTTCAAACAAATGTTTCCATCTTTTTACGTCAAGATTTTAATAATAATATATATGTATATATATAACACAAATTAAAATAAATGTTATAATGAATATCAATATTTATGAATATAATCCATTATGATAAATTATTAAAAAATCATGCAATATAATCCATTAAATGTACTTGATTTAGTTATTGTTAGTTTCGTAAATTTTTTTGTTTAAATAAAAAATACAGCAATTTTGAATTCAAATGGAATTCAAAGAGTGATACTCGGTCAATAAAAACCTAAACCAATTTTAAATACTGTATATTAATTTTCAACCTTATCATGTATGATGATAAGATAGGTGCAAAGTAGTTAAAATGTGGAGATTTTTGTGTGATAGCATCGTTACATAATTACCATTTTTCATTTAAATTTCGGTCAATACCAATGTGATACCAACGTGATACAAAAAAAAATTGTTGAAAAATTTTTTACGTCAAAATTTTACGTCAAACAAATATTATAATCTTTTACGTCAAAAATTGTTTACGTCAAACAAATATTTCCATCTTTTTACGTCAAAATTTTAATAATAATAATTTATAAATAAAACAAATTAATATAAATATTATAATCAAAAATCATATTCATATTTATGAATATAATCCATTATGATAAATTATTGAAAAATCAGGCAATATAATACATTAAATGTACTTAATTCAGTTATTGTTAATTCCGTAAATTTTTTTTTATATAATCTTATATTTGAAATATTTGTTAGGATTTGTATTAATTCATATCTTATATCATGACATTCTACCAATTTTAAACTAATATACAGTAGAAGTCAAAAATAAAATGACACGGGAAATTTTCACATTCATGCGACATTTAATAAAAAAAAAATATCCAACGACCTTTTATAAGGATAACAAATATAATAACACTAAAATTTATTATAGAATTCGGAATTCAACGACATGGAATGAAATTAAAATTCATAATAATCAAACTCTAAATATCATAAATATCTCCTGCTCCTTGCTAATGTTGAGGGAAAATATCAACATTTTGAGGAAAAATCCCACCATATTTGATAACATGAGTTCTTCCATGAAGCACAAGTTTTCATATGTTGGTTATGATATCCTTCTTCCCATGATTAAATTCAACGACATAGTTGTTGATCGTATACACCTCACATTCGTTCAGTACACCTCGAAATGCTCCCATATGTTTGGAACGTATTATCCCTTTAATGAATGTACCCTACAATATAAATTTATAACTATGAATTAAAATATTTTTTAAATAAATTTGATATTACAAATAAAAATATTTACCTGTTCATCATGAAACATATATGGAATGCGTTCTAGCTCTCCCGTTGGTGATGCGTTTCAACTATTAGGACTGCTTTCAAGTGCAAAAAAGGCTTGTTTCTCCTACTCACGGAATGGAGTGTATCCCAGACTGGCGGCATTTATTATCAATGTGTTTTGAAATTGATCTTTTTTTTTTCTCTGTACAATTTATCTCGGTTTTTTTTTCTCTGTTGTGAATGACGTGAACTTTTTTTTCTTTTTTTTTTTTCTAAACTGTGAATGACGTGAATTGTTGAATAGTGGTAGTGCATATGATTTTATACCAAACAACTGTTTTTGAACTCAATATTCGCATAATTATGTAATGATAATTATGGATCCAATTGTGACTTATCTAAATATCCCTATAATATCTCTAACCAATTAAATTTTGAATTAATTCTGTAATGATAATTATGGATCCAATTATGACTTATCCACAATCCCAATAATATCTCTAATAAACAAATTTTTGAATTACTTTTTTAAAATTTCGTGTATTATAAATGCAGTAAATATGGTTTCTATATTTAGATTGTCAAAGTTTTTTTTTTTGGTCAAAAATTTCTAAAAATGTATTGTAACAACAACCTTTTTATATAGATATAGATACTTTTACCTAACAATTAAATTATGTATATAAATTACAGATGGTAACCATTACTTTTTCTATTCTCCAGCCATGCAAATGAACCGGACGTTGCCAGCCCGAAACAACGAAATTTAGGCTTTTAGTAGGATTCCCCGTAAGTCATACATAATAGCAGTAAAAAATGACTCATATGGCCTCCAGGGCGTGAAGTCCAGCGGTGAAGGGAGAAGGCGACAAGTTTCGTGTATCCTGGAGGTCGGGGGATCGATCCTGCGAACGTGGAGGAATGGTTGAGGCGTCCAGTTTCTCCCTAGGTGGATTAGTCCCACCTCTCGATTGGTGTAACCCTAGGCCGTTAGGGCCCAGACCCGATAGTGGTGGGCTGGCAGTTTGTGTGAGGCCCAGCGATGAATGTGGGGATACCATCTAGTCAGAAAAAAAAAAAAA